TGAATCGTGTGATATCGAATTTACACGCTGAATCGTGTGATATCGAATTTACACGCTAAATCATATGATAACGAGTTTGATATGAATTTGCATACGGACAAATTTGGAAAGCAAATAGTCGAGTTGGATAGGATTTAATGAATATCGCTTAAATAATAGCCAATTTTTTACTATTTATTAATAATTTTGCAAAAAAAAAAATTTTTGTATAAATATGAAACGTTTTTTTTTTTCATTGAATATTTATTTTCTCGAAAAATTTCTTGCTATTTAAAAATTATGTCATTTACAAGGTCAAAATACGCTTTATATATCAGAAATATTTTTAAAAATATGACAATTTATTTCAACAATATGTTAATTAATTTAATATTTTCTGGCTCAATTTTCATTTAAAAAAAATTTAACTGATTAATAAAAGTTAATTCTTTCAATCGAAGTAGCTCTCTATTGAAGTGTTCTTTTTTTCCATTCAATTGTGAATTGTTAAACTGATTGTTTATTCATTTGAAGCCAATCATTGTTAGCAAAATGAGTTTGTTGGGGTGAAGGGCCCGTTTGACTTACAAATGCTAAAACTTTTACAACTTTGAAACTTCTCGATTAATTTATTTTTCAAGGGCCCATACAAGGCGTGACAGTAGGCTCATTTGCACTTTTATATTTCCCCATTTTAATATTCAAAATTCGGATATTGCATCGGCTTCAATGGAAAAATCCTCAATGAAATGATTGAAAAGTATTGGTAAATTTTTCATTTTTCAAATTTATTTTGTCAAATTAAAAGAAAAATCTTTTAAAATTTAAAAATCCATTGGAAGAAAAATCCTTAAAAAAATTTGGAAAAAAGACATGCAATATTTTCTTATACTGAAATAATGGAAAAAGTGCACACATAAAAAATTTGAAAGTTGCAAAAAAATAATGAAGTTTTTCTTTTTCAATGCTTTTCACTACAATCATTAATATCAGTAGCTTTTCTGTTACTATTTTTTATCATCACTAAAATTATTTCAAAATTAATTCCATTGTGAAATTACAGAGCAGAAAAGTTGCCTCAGACATTTTAAAGTTATTTGTATAAAGATTAAATTTGAGGAAAAAAGATATTAAAAATGTATTTTAAAATAATTTTAAAAAAATTTTTAAATTATCTGTTTATCTGTTAACAGAGTTCAATTATCTGTTAACAGAATTCAATAATTGAATGAAACGTAAAATCTGAGAACAGCGATTCGATTTCCACTTCTTTCGAATATTTTTCATACAATGCATTTTTTTTTTGATTAATCATTGTGGGCGATTAATCGTTTGTTAGCTGAAAGTACTGAAGGATCACTTTAAGTACATTCCGTAATGTCTCGGAATGCGGGGTGAGGCGAGAAGAGGGAAAAACGAGAAAAGGAAGTTGTTTCATGAGAAGATAAATACGGAAATCAAAAAGAGGTTATTGTTGGGATATTTTTTTGTCTTTAATAAATTTAAAGGTCTTGAAAAAAATGGAAATCTAAAAAATGAATTTTAAAATGATATGCATAAATGCTAGATTTGATAATTTTATTACTATATCGATGAAATCAATAAAAGAAATTACTGGATGAAAACGTGAATTTCAATATGCTCCCATTGTTTGAATTTTAAGTTTATATTTTTTTTTCAAAATTTATTAATCATTTCCATTTTTTTTAAACACGATTTTTCTCCTGGTCATTTTAAATTCAAATATTTTATTGATTTATTTTTCTTTGTATTTTCAATTTTTATTTTCCCTTTAATTTCTCAAAGCAAAAGACTCTACGAAATAAATAAAATTGCGAAATTTTCGAAATCTTTCTTCAAAACGAAACTTTTTTTAAATTAGGAACAAATTGTTTGAAAGAAAACTTTTCGTAGAACGAAGCTATTTTTTTCAATTTATAGCAGTAATCTCATATATGGATGTTTCCAATATTGTCCCAGTTGATTCATTCTTCAAATATATTTAAAAAAAATAAATAAATAAATAAATCGCGAAACGCTTTACAAAAAAAATGAAACTTTGCTTTCTCAATAATGACAATGAAAAATTTAAACTTCAAAAAAATACAATGAAGTACTTTTTAGAATTTCGTACTTCAATTCATGCTTTAAAAGCAACCAAACATTCATATCTAATAATAATTAAATTAAAAAAACATAACCGATGAAAACTGATAAAATTATATAGCTAAATTGCTCGTTTGAAAATATGTGCGATATAAATGCCCAAGAATGACCGACTAACCGAGTTTTCCTAAATTTTTTCATGCAATTGAAATTTAATTAGAATTAGGTCTTAATTTGAATAAGATTCCAATGTTAAGAAAATAATTTTCTTCTAATGAGTAATTGATAACTGTTGATGATTTAAATTTTAAATTAATATTTAACGGAATTTTATGCTAACTCAACTGAGAATACAGCGAAAGCGCTCATATAAAGCCGTATTTCGCTGATTGAAATTAGCGTGAAAATATTTTAAAAAAGTAAGCAAAAGACGATAAGAAAATATCAAAGTCAAAATGGTTTGGATGGATTTTTGGAAAATGATTAGAAAGTTTAATCAAAGTTACAAAATCTGTCGTATATTAAATTTAAATTGAAAAAAAGCAATCGGGCTTTTGATTGTAAAAGTCGTTTTGAAATCTGAAGAAAAAAAAAACCATTTCTTTTTTCCTAAAATTTGGAACTATTTAATGCTTCTTAATTCCTGTTAGCTATGTTCTATAAACATTATATTGCGTTTTGTTTGTTTTTGTTTTTTTTTTTAAATTAAACTTCTTTTCTGTAAAGATTAGTTTCAATTTTAAATTCAAATCATTTTTCACCCCTCCTTCGAGAGAATATTTTGCACTTTTTCCAAGAAAAGTAGAAATATGATACAAAAAAATAAGAGTCCGTTCTGAACAGAAATGGTATAAGTTAAGCATTTCTATTAAACGATTTGACAGACATCAATTTGAATTGAATTTTGTTTGTGAAAGGAAACAAAAGAAATTTTCAAGCAATAATTTACAAACACTCTATTTCTGAAGGTCATTTAAGCTATTTCAATTTATCAGCAAAAATTTTTCATAGCGTTTTTGAAATGCACTTTGTATTAGTTTTCTCGATTTTCATGACACAATTCCCTATAACTTCAAACAAAATTTAGCATGACTGCAAAAAACCTAAATTAGAACTTCATTATCTTACAAAGAAATTCCAAAATTTTCAAAACAATGTATTAATTTTTCAAATGTTCAAATTTACTTAAATAAAAAAAGGAAAAAGCAAGTTGTTTAGATGAATGGACGTGAATGAACAAAACATATGCTAAAAAATAAAATAATCGCCAAGAAAATAAAATTCAAAAACATATTTGAAATAATTTCAGATCAAAAACATTTATAGAAATCCGCAAGTATCATTTTGATTAGAATGATAATCTTTAAAAAAAATGCATTTCGGTAAAAAATAAAACTTAGTCTTTTAAATGTTAAATGTTTAAAAGATGTTAAAAATAGTTTTTTCGGTAAAAAATAAAATTTAGTCTTGAAGATGTTAAAAGTTTAAAGATGTTAAAAATAGTTTGAAGATGTTAAAAGATGTAAAGTTTGTTCAGGAATAACTTACCATCATTGCTAAATCAATTCAAAATAAATATTTAACCAAATGAGTAACTTTATTTTATTGATATTAATATTGCATAGATGAAAATTCCATCTTACCGATAATTTTTTCTAACAGAACTTTGACATATCTCAGCATTAGCTTCCTCAGTTGGAAATGTAACTTTTATGCTTAACGGAATAAATTCATATCTCATTTACTTAAGTTGCATTCTATTAATTCGATCAAATATGATTGCACAAATAATTAAATATTCAAATATTTCAATCAAAAATTGCATACATTAATTGTATAGCATGAATTAGATAGAACAGATGGCGAATTTATTTTATAATATCATGAATTTTTAAGAGTAAAATAAGGAAGTAATGAGATATAATTTCAAAACTTACACTGAAAGAGGTAAAGTAAGTGTGAAGTCGATTAAAAATTCATATAAAGCTTGAAAGGGTAACGAAATTAGGCTATCTTGTAGGAAAATAATTGAATATCAAACCCAATTTTAGTTAATAACAAATTTTTGTTTAGTCTTGTAATTATTTTGCATAATTTTTTGGAGGAAATAATTTCAATGTAAAAGATTGCAAAAAATCAAACTATCAAATTGTTATAAATGAATGGAAATTATAGCAAAAATATTTAAATATTTGTTCTAAAATATATTTCGTACTCACAAATTAACACTATTTTTTTCAAATAATTTTTTTTCCAATATAATTTCTCCTTATCATTGCTAATTCAATTAAGCATTTCTGTCCATTTGATCAATTTGTTTTATTAAATAATTTTTATAAAACCTGCAAAATTATTTCAATCATACTTCACGACAAAACATTCAATGATAATGACTTCATGAATGTAATTTTAATTTGATTATGTTATTTATTTTTGCACATCAATATTATTTCTTTCGATATTACAATTAATTGATTGTAATACAATTGATTGTAATATCGACATATTGTAATACA